GGACACAGAGCAGGGGGTGGATGTTGTGACAAGCAGAAGCCTGTCCCACCCTTGTGGGTCCCTGCACAGAGCCCAGAACAACTCCAGGCTGGGCTGGGCTCACGGGGGGGGGTTATTGGCTAATGCAAGAGGTTGAGCCCAAGGAGAGCTGGGCCAAGTCCTGCTGGGCTGGAGCTGTGAGTGGTGCTGCCGTACCTGGTAGCTCAGCTCCTTGATCCTCCGCTCGTACTTGCGAATGCCCTTCTGGGCTTCAGCCATCTTCTTCTGCTCCATATCCAGCTCCCCCTCCAGCTCCCGCACCTGCGGGTGGGTAGAGGCCAGCTCAGCACTCAGCTCCCTAGCACCAGTCCCAGCTGAGGCCAAGCCGCTTTCCCAGCTCAGAGAAGGCACAGCAGAGGCTAAGCCACCCCAAGCAAAGACTGGGAGCTAGGCCCAGGCTTGCAGGTCCTCAGGGACTGTCCCTTACTGCCCACGGTCCCTGGTGGCATAGCCTGGCCCCAGAGGGATGGGGCAGTGCTGGTGCCCCCCCAGAGCTCCCTGGGGACACAGCCAGGGGCCTGCCCCTGCCTTCTCACCCTGGCCTCCAGCTTCTGGATCTGCTTCTTGCCCCCCTTGAGAGCAATCTGCTCTGCTTCATCCAGGCGCATCTGCAGGTCCTTGATGGTCTGTTCCATGTTCTTCTTCATCCGCTCCAGGTGCGCACTCGTGTCCTGCTCCTTCTTCAGCTCCTCTGCCATCATGGCAGCCTGCAAGGCCAAGAGCAGAGAGGCATCACCACAAGGCCCGGCAGCCCTGCTAGACGCAGGGGCTCAAGGGAGAAGTCTGGAGGCTCTCCCCTCTTCTCCTACCCATCAGCCCCACAGGGTGCTGGGCACCCTTGCCAAACCATACAGCACAGTCCCCACCACGCTCTTACATCCGTGATCGCCTTCTTCGCCTTCTCCTCAGCGTTCCGTCATTCCTGCACCGCATCCTCCACCTCGCTGCTCAGCTGTGAGATGTCCGTCTCCAGCTTCTTCTTTTGGTTGATCAGGCCCGTGTTCTGCAGAGAGAGCAGGTTCAGTGCCACAGGGACCGGCCGTTCAACATGGCTGGTGGCCCCACTGCTGTACAGGCTCCTGGCTCTCCAGTGCCAGTGGAGATGCAGGACTTGGCGGTCCCTTACCTGGGAGTGGAGCAGGTTGACCCTCTCGGTGGCCTCCAGCAGCTCCTGCTCCGCCAGCTTCCTGCTCCGCTCTGCCTGCTCCAGCGCTGCCCGCAGCTCCTCCACCTCGGCCAGCAGCAGGTTGTTGCGGCGCTCCAGGGCGGCCGCCTGCTCTTTCAGGTCGTCGTTGTGGCGTTGAGTGTCATCCAACTCGATTTGCAGGTCCTGCCGGGCAGCACGGGGTCAGTGGGGACAGGAGGGAGCTGGGGCTGGCAGCAGGGACAGCACCGAATCTGTCCCACCCACGGCTGCCCAACCTTGATCTGGGCCTGGAGCTGGCGGCCCAGTTTCTGGAATTCGGCGGCCTGACGGTTGGCGTGGCTCAGTTGGATCTCCATCTCGTTCAGGTCTCCCTCCATCTTCTTCCTCAGCCGGACGGCCTCATTCTTGGCCCGGGCCTCTGCATCTAGCGTGGCCTGCATGGAGTCCATGGCGCGCTGGTGGTTGCGCCTGTGGGAGAGACGACACATCAACCCCATCTGCCTGGGGACACCCAGTCTGGGGCAGCCCTGTCAGGGCCATGGCGCCAGCTTTGCCCCCCAGTGATGGCCCAGCCTGTCTCCTCTCAGCACACACCTCAGGTTCTCAAACTCCTCATCCTTCTCCGCCAGCTTCCTGTCCACATCAGCCTTGATCTGGTTCAGCTCCAGCTGGATGCGCAGCGTCTTGCTCTCCTCATGTTCCAGGGCCCCCTAGAGACAGTGGCAGCCATGGGAAGGTGGCCCTTGCCGGGGGGGATCTCCCCAGTCACCCATCCTAGCCTGGGCTTGCCCCCACCCCAGCCCAGAGCTGTGGGGAGTGGAGCAGGTGGAGCCACCCCAGTGCCTTGCTGTGGTTGCACAACCCCCACGAGTAGGGTGCCCAGGGTCGCAGCCCGGCTCCGGGCCGTCACCCTGCCAGCACGGTGTTGGTTACTGCTCCAGCAGCACCCAACCCAGTGGCTCTTAAGGGTGGCAGGCACATAGAAGCAACAGTGGGAAACAGGGACCCACCTCAGCCTCCTCCAGAGCTGCCTGGATATCGCTCTTCTCACTCTCCAGGGCTTTCTTCAGCTTCTCCAGCTCATGGATGGTTTTGCCGCTCAGACTGATCTGGTCAGTCAGATCCGCAATCTCCTCTGGCAGGGATGGAAGGGCATTTGGTCAGGAAGGAGTTTGTGGGGCCCAGCCCCACGCAGGTGACTTCCCCATCGCCCTGCCCAGGCTCAGCTGATGTCTCCTCAGCCCCTTGGAGAGTAGCTGAGGTTGTGCTTGGGGACATCTTTGCAGTCTGGGTGAAGGAGAGGGCATGGGAGAGGCATTACGGACCCATGGAGACCTGCTTGTCCAAGAGTAACACTCCCAAGCCAGTGTCATGCCACAGCCATGGCACTCTCGGCAGCAAACCGTGCACCA